CACCATCTCACCAGCCCCAGACCCAGGCTTACCTCCCAGCACATCACCATCTCACCAGCCCCAGACCCAGGCTTACCTCCAGGCACATCACCATCATACCAGCCCCAAACCCAGGCTTACATCCTGGCACATCACCATCTCACCAGCCCCAGACCCAGGCTTACATCCTGGCACATCACCATCTCACCAGCCCCAGACCCAGGCTTGTATCCTGGCACATCACCTTCTCTCTGGTTAAGTATGACCATGTCAACCCTCTCAGCTTAGATTCCTTAGCTACCAAGCAGAGATGATACCCTGGTGAGTTATTATCCTCAGTTGACAGATTGGGAGATTGAGGCCCGAAGCTGGTGAAGGGCTGAGCTAGCACAGTCTCCACCAATGCCCATTTGGTTCACAGCCCTCCACTTTAAATGTCTCTATAGTTGGGAAGACACAGGGAAGGGACTAGCCTAATTTTAAAAACAAATTTGAATAATTAAATTTGACAGCAAAAAGCTCAGTACTGGAAATACATCTCACCATGCCATTGCTGAATCTGTTTACTGTATTTTGAACCAACTTAGCTCATCTCGTTAGGCAATCCATCAGGAGTTTAAAACTTAAAATTGGCAGCAAAGGGTCACAGGGGCCTGCGTCACGCTTCTCATGAGGGTGGGAGTGAAGCCACCCTTACCTCTGAACTCACCTAGGGTCCTTGGAAGTCCAGAACAGCAGATAGAAGACACCAAGGCACTGAAGGCTTGAAGAAAGCTTGTGTCTGAAGCCATTTATTTTCATAACAAGGACTTTTCATCTTCAAAGCCCTTTACAAGCCATAATTAATCTTCACAACACCTAGGTGAGCTGGGTGCACAGCATTACCTAGGTTTTATAGACCAGCGTAGCCCAGAGGAGGTTTTGGGATGGTGAGTGACCCCTGGACACCTGACTCAGAAGGAGCGATTAAGCTGCCCCACCTCAGCCTGGCAGGCAGATCCTGTATTTCCCAACCCCAAACCAGACCTTCTCTATTAATCTTTGAAAAGTGTTTCCTGATGCCAAAGCAGGCCCTGGATGGAGGAAAAGACCTAGAGACAGGTACAGACAAAAATGTAAGCCCCGGTGTTATCACCATTTACATATGGTCGACTTTATTGCTATTATACATTGTTAGCCTGATTTAAATAACAATAAATAAGAACACTCATATTTCTATATGCACACTGAGCATTTCCAAGGCTCTTTCCCACACAATATCTCAGGTGATCTTTATGACAGTCATTTTGGTCCAGGTGTACTGACTGGATACCTATTCTGTACCAGGTTGAAGATATAGCAGAGATGAAGGCAGATGAGAGCCTGCTTTCAAGGCATGGTGCTTAGTAGTGGTGAGAGAAATGCCATTTTCTCTGGCATACCCCTTTTTTGAGACAGGGTCTCATGAAGCCTGGTCTAGCCTCAAACTTACCATGTAGCCAGAAATGACCTCAACTTCATCTTCCTGCTGCCCCCTCCTGAGAGCTGACATTATGAGCCAATGCCACCAGCACCACTTCTTCCTGTCCTCCTCCTCCTTCCCTCCTCCTCCTCCTCCTTCTCCTTCCCCCCTTCTAATGGATATTGGTTCAGAGGCTTAAGGCCATACAGTGAGCTCATAGAGGAATTTCCATCCCAGATTCATTTGATTGTGCAGCTTGTGTTCAGCCAAGTACTAAGATGCTCATTGCATCCCTGTTACAATAACAAAGACCTGGGAGAAAACCAGGGTCCCAACAGGGAAAGCGACAGACAATATGGAAAATACAGGAAAAATATCACACCAGTCAAATAGACTGGCTTGTTTCTACCTATATAAGAAAAAAATAAGAACATGAGATTGTGTCCACAAATTTTGCAAATTATTGAAAGCAATGCTACGTGCTGTATTTACATATATGTGAATAAAGGCACAGAAGAATGTTTGAAAGTCCACACATTGGGTATACAGAACCGATGCTTTGGAAGTAAGGTCAGGGTTATGAATTAAAGCCAGACCAAAACCTTGGGGGGCTAGGTGGGGACACCAGGTGCCATAAACCAAGGGCTTGGCTGATAGACTCCATGCATGGATTCGCCTTCCCAAAATCAATGCCAGTAAAGCACACGCTCTCTGCTCTTTTGCAGGCTATGGTTTCTGCCTTCAATCTCAGTGTTGAAATTGCCTTTCGAACTTGAACCAGCCAAAAAAAAATTCTAAATGAAAACCAAGAATAAAAAGAGCAAAGTCTGAAACCAACTTGAGAAGTGAACAGTGTACTTGGGCCGCACATGGGCGCGGAGAGCGTGTGACAGCCTTCATGGAGCAGGCCCTTCCTCGGCCAGGCCTAGCTGCTGGGCCAGCTCTGCCACCATGTCCCAGAAGCCGTGGGGCAGCAACGGAAGTCGTGTTTGGAGGTTCCCCACAGAAGCTTGTTTACCGACTCCTCAGAGCCACGCTTGCCTGCTTCCTCGTTGGTTTCCTGCCACGGCATGATCGATTCTTACAGATACATTTCGCTAGAAGTCGAGTGGTGCCAGGCAACCCGTGCCAAAGCAGTCTCATTTCCATGTGTGGTCTGGGTGGATTGGGAGAGGCTACAGGCAGAACCGCTCCGATTTCAGCAGCATGCTTGGAAGAGTGTCTCATCCACCTGAGCCTCCCTAGAGTGGTCATCTGACCTAGTCCTTCCCCTGCTGGAACCCAGGGCACCACATTACCTGCAAGACAGACTGGGAACTCAGCCATGTGCAGGGCCACCAGGAATCTCTGTCTTGGGTGCTATGGTCCCTTCCCGCTGCTCTCCTGAGCACTTGCATCTCCATAATGCAACTCTCCTTTCAGTACTGCTTGAGCCAACCGGAATGCTCTGCCCTGCCTTGTCCCCACAGTTAATCCATACTCAGCTGGAGAGTCCAGCTGAACCGAACATCCCCACCTTCCCTTTCTCTGGTCCACCCAACTGGAAAGAATCAACACCCCAACCCCAACCCCCATGAGTTCTTATGTGCACTGTGCTTATGACAGGAACTTGGGACAGGATGTTTCTTAAAATTCAAAATGTTCAGTTTATAAAAGATAGAAAAGACCAAATGCCATATTTTAGTTTATTTTTTGAGATAAGGTCTCACTATGTAGCCCAGGTGGGCACCTAACTGAAAATATACCACCACCCCACTAATTTCTCCACAGTCTTACCAGAAAAATGTTATTTTCTGTGTTTTGTGTATCTTTTGGGGAGAAACGTTTATTCAAATCCTCACTTTTTAATTAGTCTTTTCTTTCATTTTTAACTAAACTTTTTTTCTTTTTGTTTTTCAAGACAGGGTTTCTCTGTGTAGCTTTGCGCCTTTCCTGGATCTCGCTCTGTAGACCAGGCTGGCCTCGAACTCACAGAGATCCGCCTGGCTCTGCCTCCCGAGTGCTGGGATTAAAGGCGTGCACCACCGCCGCCGCCGCCGCCGCCGCCTGACTCATTTTTAACTAAACTTCTGGTTGCAAGTACTGGAGGTTGAGCCTGGGGCCTCACGCACACCAGGCAATTGTTCTATTGCTGAGCTACATTTTCTAGTCTATTATTATTATTATTAATTATTACTACTACTATTTTATGTGCACACGTGTGTGAATGTGGCGGGGCACACCCTTGTCTGTGCATGTGCAGAATCCAGAGCATCAGTGTCAGTGTCTTTCTCTTTTGCTCCCCACCTTGCTTTTTGAGACAAGGTCCCTCATTGAACCAAAGCTTGAAAAGCAGCTGAACTGGCTGGCTATCAAAATGAGTTCCCTAGCACTGGGGTTACAAGCACATACCATGAGGCCCAACATTACATGGGTGCCGGGTATTCAAATTCAGACCCTCATGCTAGCAGATCAAACACTTCACTCCCCAGCCCTTACTTTGATATAGTGTGCTCCTAAGTTGACCAGGTTAGCCTCGAACTCACTCTACTGCTCGAGGCAGGCTTGGACCTTTCCATTCTCCTGCCTTTGCTTCTCAGTGAGGCTTGTACCACAAAGTCTGACTTAAAGTTTTCATTGCAGTTTAACATGCAGACAGCAAAATGACAGATCATGGAGAGTAAGACCAATGAGTCTATAGTGAACACATTCCCTTTCTTGCCTTGCTTCCCTTTTTCTCATGCACAGGCTGAGCTTAGGGAAGTAGAGGTGAGACAGAAAATGTCCAGCCTGAGACAGAAGGCCCTTAGTCTAATAACAGAGACACAGAGCAAAGCACATCCAATCTGACCTAACATGTGCAGTGATGGATGTGGGGAAGAGCACAGTGTGGGCATGTAATTCTCTCTCTCTCTCTCTCTCTCTCTCTCTCTCTCTCTCTCTCTCTCTCACACACACACACACACACACACACACACACACAAAGAGAGAGAGCTCAATCATGTACACCCTCTGAGCCCTCAGCCCTAAGAGTCCTCCTCAGTTGAGCCTTTCTTCTAGATGGGTATAGAGACGGTCTGTGGTGCCAAAAACAGGCATGGAACCTGGCAGATATGGTGAGGCAGGCTGGTAACCGTTTGTTTTCACCTGGTCCTCATGCCGCTGAGACATTAGAGCATCTCCATGCTTAGCCCCCTGCTGCCAGCTGTGCAGTCTGGAAAAGAGAGGCAGGGGAGATTGTGAAGAACATTTGTGATTCCCTCTAATCTTTTTTTTTTTTTTTTTTGCTTTTTCGAGACAGGGTTTCTCTGTGTAGCTTTGCGCCTTTCCTGGGACTCACTTGGTAGCCCAGGCTGGGACTCGAACTCACAGAGATCCACCTGGCTCTGCTTCCCGAGTGCTGGAATTAAAGGCGTGCGCTACCACCGCCCGGCCGATTCCCTCTAATCTTTTGCCCAGTCACTCAGCCATCACTGGCCAGCCCTGACTTGCCCTGTGTAAGACCTGCCTATGTTCAGAGAGGCAGAGTTGAGGCAGGCAAGGTCCAGTCTGAGACAGGAGGCTCCTAGTCTACTAAGGGAGACACACAACAAGGCACCTCCAGTCCAGTCTCACACGAGCAGTGATGGGAGTGTGGTACGGCACCGTGTGGGCATGTAATTCCTGTTTGGCTCAGGAAAGCCTGGACCAGGAGGTATTTCCAGAACTGAGTTGTGAGGGTCAGCATGAAGGTCAATAGAGTCTAGCTAAGCAAGAATGAAGAGAAGACACTATATACAAAAAGATACAACAGGTGGAAAGACCTAGAAGCTTACAAGAGCCTATCAGATCCAGAAAGCTGTGTTCAATACGGCTATGGCAGCGCATGCGTGCGTGCGTGCGTGCGTGCGTGCGTGCGTGCGTGCGTGCGTGCGTGTGTGTGTGTGTGTGTGTGTGTGTGTGTTTGGAGTAGGAATACGAAGTTAGGCTAGAGAGAAAGGCAAGAGCCAGGTCACATCAGAAAGTCAAAATGAAGCTAAACACCAAGGCCTTGGTCTACAGGGATGAGGGGTTACTAAGGACACTCACCACAATGCTTGAGTGTTTAGTTGTGTTCTCAAATGACCCCTACAGCTTTAAGCAAAAATAGGAGCAGGAGGGGTAGCAGAAGGCAATAGGGGTACCTGCTTCTCTCTGAGGACCACAAGAGCCAGCCAATCACCTGAGACATACAATCCTTTCTCCATGTAGACCTTCAGAGCTGGAGGAGAGGCAGCCCCCAAGCTGGCCGTTCTGGCCCCTGAATATAGTCTTACCTTCCAGGTATCTGACTTAATCATAGTGAGGGTGTGAAGAAGGGACATAAGCCACCCCTCTGGCAGGAAGGTCCAGAAGTAGAGCCCTATCACCCATCTGGTAACCATGTGTCTAGAGGAGTGTAGCAACCCCCCAGTGGCCCTTCTACTCAGTTTTTGGGATGCTGCCTGAGTGTTGTCCTGTTGGGAAGGCCTCCACATCTGCTTCCGACTCACAGCAGGTTCCAGGCTCCTGTCCTGCACCATTGCCTTCTGGCTGTGTAAGTGTGGCATGTCACTACACCTCTTGGTTGCTTTCCTCACATGTAACACAAAGTTCTGCTATTCACCCTGGGGACCTGGGATGTTTCCCCAAAGATAATGTAAGGGTTTGGCTTAAAGTCAGACATTTATGGGCACCATCACCCATAATGTATTCTCCAGTGGCCCTGGGTAGGCATTCTCCCTCCTTATGATAGTGGCAAATTACCCATAGTGGACTGAGTCTCCCCACTGTGCTGTGGAAAGCCACCACAAGTAAAGGACTTCCCACAGTGTCTTGTAGGCACAAGGTCACAGGAGCAGTTTGTAGGTATATAGCAAGCCTGCTAGAGCACCTTGTTATTTGAGTTTCTCACAAGAACTTCAGTTTTGGAGCTCACCACTGAAGCCTGAGAGCTAGCTGCCCCCAGCCTTGACAGAGCTGCCCCCAGCCTTGACAGAGCACAATTTAAATTATACTACTACCAACTGTTGTTAGCCCATCTGTGATAGCCCAGATCTTGAGCTGTAGAGGCTGGCTAGACTCCTGCCATGGATAAACTGACTACTTTACTTCCTGCCTTCGTTGGCCAGACCAGTTCATGCCACAGTCCTACTCACTCCACCCCAACACCAACCACCACTCCCCACCTCCCCATCCATGCTGGACTCAGGCTAAGAGTATCACACTGTTTGGGCCTCAGCTCCCTCCCTTGGATGTCCCAGCCTCTGACTTTTCCACTACCCTTGTTCTGAGGATCCAGCATGCCTTGAGTCAAGATTCAGTATGTCTTGGAAAGATTCTGAGGGTCAAGGCCAGTTGTGCCCTCTTAATGCTCTGCACCTTAAGAGCAGGACCTTCTCCAGCTTTCACTTTCTGCCCTGTCCTTCAAACATAGCTGTGAACAGCATCTCAACTATTGTAAACTGCTGTGTAGCTTGAGCCAATCTCATTGACTTTTCCCTTAGCACGGGCATCAGTTGCGAAGCGTGACTGCTAGCACTTCACAATCTATCCTACCAAGTCTATTTGAGGAGTGAGATGTGGATTGTGTTCAGTGAATTATTCAGCTAAGCTTCACACCTGAAGATGCTGAAAGTAACTGTGTGGGAGTGGGCCATTCGTTTACTCAGTCAACAACCCCGATCCTGTCTCTGTGCCAGAGAGGGCTGCCGAGGGAAGCACGCCGAAATCACTGCTGCTTATCGGCAAGCAGACGAGTTACTGGATTTTCCTAGGTAGATGATGTAAGCAAACTTCATGTCTCTAAGAGAAGAGCCAAGAGAAAAATTATTTCTCCTCTTCCAACAATTCCATATGATGCTTCCAGGTCTGGCAAAAGCATTCCCTCTGTTTAGAACCACCGAGTAGTTGCTTTCCAAAAGAATTCTAAAGTAGCAAACAGCCCTGTGGGAAAAAAGTACAATGTCCTTCCTGAAGGCAGAGACCAGCTCACCAGCTAAAGGGAAGGGCAGGACATGATCATCACAGTGTACCATGCTGACATTTGCAAGGCTCTCTATCCTCTGCTTACCATGATTTTTCTCTTGTGAAATTCTAGCACTGGTGGAGATTGTCTTTAAGAAGGAAGACCTAGCCGAGCAGTGGTGTGCACACCTTCTGTCTCAGCACTCTGGAGGTAGAGGCAGGTGGATCTCTGAGTTCGAGGCTAGCCTGGTCTACAGAGTGAGTTCCAGGACAGCCAGAGCTACACCAAGAAACCCTGACTCAAAAAAAAAAGAAAGAAAGAAAGAAAAAAGGAAAGAAAGAAAGAGAAGAGAAGAAAAAAGAAAGAGAGGAAAAGGAGGAGGAGTACAAGGAGGAGGAGGAGGACAAGGAAGAGGAGGACAAGGAAGAGGAGGAGGACAAGGAGGAGAAGGAAGACAAGGAGGAGGAGGACAAGGAGGAGGAGGACAAGGAAGAGGAGGAGGACAAGGAGGAGAAGGAAGACAAGGAGGAGGACAAGGAGGAGAAGGATAAGGAGGAGGACAAGGAGGACAAGGAGGAGGATAAGGAGGAGGAGAACAAGGTGGAGGAGGATAAGGAGGAGGAGGAGGACAAGGAGGACAAGGAGGCAGACAAGACCATCCTTGGCTACATATTAAGTTCAGAGCTATCCTGAGCTATGTGAAAGGGAAGGTACAAGATTTGGGAATGAGAGAGGGAGGAAGGGAGGAAGACAGGCCCCACTCTCAAGTAGTCTTTACTAGTGATAGCCATTTCAGAATAGAATCTTATGGTCCCAGCCAGACTTCTCAACAGGTAAAAGCTCCTGCCAGGCTGAGTTTGATCCTCAGAACCCAAGTAAAGGTGAATGAGAGCACCGACTCCACAAGATTATCACTGACCTCTGCATGCACACCATGCCATGCACTCCCTGAATGCACATTAGGTGCACATACATACAGTGAGAACAATAACAGATTTAAATAATCTCATGGGGCTGAATACTTAACTCAGTGGTGGAAACCTTGTTCAATTCCATCTCTACCTAGCACCAGAAGAAATAAATCAACAGATTTTTCCCCAATATCTTTGTTTTGTTTTTTTCTCTACCAAGGTAATACATGTCTATTTTTAACCATCCTAATGTTACTGGAATGTTTAAAAAATAAAAGTCACAGGTATTGCCCTCCCCAAAAATAACAGCTGCTAACAATATGGGACATATTCTCCCAGTCTTTTGCTATGAAAATATTAATAATGCACAGAAAAATCATAATGCTTGTTAGTATTCAAACACACAACACACTTTTTTAAAATTTAATACTATATTGAGGATGTCTTTCACAGCACTTAAATAACCCACCTACTTTATTTTAAGGGAATTTATTTATTATTTACATGTGTGTGTGTGTGTGTGTGTGTGTGTGTGTGTGTGTGTGTGTGTGTGTGTGTTGGGATGGGTGTGCACGCATGTGTGTACAGGTGCATGTAAAGGTCAGAGGTTGACTTGGGGTGTTCTCAATCACTCTCTACCTAATTTTTTAAGACAAGGTTTCTCACTGAACCCAGAAGTCACCAATTTGACTAGACTGGCTGACCAGGGAGCCCCAGGGTATTCCTGTCTGCCTTTGCGGTCCTGGTGCTGAGGATCCAAACTCAGGTCTTCGTGACTGTGAAACCTGTGCTTTACCAGTTGAGCCGTCTCCACAAGCCCCTGAGCCTTTGGTTGGTTGGCTTTTGCTTTTTGCAGGGCTTCACACGGGCCAGGCAAACCCTCTACTCCTGAGCTATGTCCTCCGCCTTGCTTCATTGTTTTCCATAGGTACACACTGTTTTCCATAGGTACACACACAATGTTTTCCATAGGTATCCATTGCATGGATAAAAACAGTTCTCACCATTCCTCTTTGGGTGAATATTTGGGACACTGTCTAATTTTCCTTGTCAACAAATACCATTAGAAGGATTTTTTTCCTTTAGATTTATTTCTTTTTATTTTGCATTTATGAGTGTTTTGCATACATGTGCGTTTGTACACCACATGACTGCAGTGCCTGTGGAGGCCAGAAAAGGGGTCTGATCCTCTGAAACAGGAGTTAGCTGACGTGTGGGTGCTGGGAACAAGCCAGAGTCCTCCACAAGAACAATAAGTGCTCTTAATCACTGAGCCATCTCTCCAGCCCCCAAATGGAAAGATATGACCCTTGTCTCTTCACCCCAAATGTTCTTCACTTAAAGAGCTTAATGTAATTTCTGCCAAGGAGCTCCATAAATGGCTATTCAAGATGATCCCCTGCTAACTCTTCAGTTTCTGTGGGATGGAAGGGGTCACATCTGTGTGTTCAGGAGACTATCTCAGAGCCTCATTCACTGCCTGGAACTCACTAGATTCCAATAGATCACTTTCCATAAACAACTGAAGGAACCAACTGCTGGGTGGATCTGTGCACTCTTATGTTCCTGACTGTAGGGCACATTCCTAAAAGGAAAAATGTTGCATCAAAGGATATGTGTGTTGGAGGTGGTTGGGTTCTGTTGTTGTTGTTTGTTTTTTGTTTTTCAAGAGATATTTTCACTGTGTAGTCCAGGTTGTCCTGGAACTCAATCTGTAGACCAGGCTGTCCTCGATCTGCCTGCCTCTGCCTTCCCAGTGCTGGAATTAAAGGCGTGTGCCACCACTGCCCAGCCCTAGTTTTGTTCTTTAGCTCTCAACTTGTCTTCTGAAAACAGTGAGCCAGCATGAAGGGATGGAAGAACTGATCACATACCTCAAGAAAGACAATTTGGGGAACAGGAGGATACAGAGACCTAGTCCATCTAGTCCCATACTGGGTGCTGAGAAACCAGGGATGACTCTTCTGCACCTTGCCCTTGGAGAGTTCTCACCTGCTCCCCAGAGATAAAGAAGAGCACACATGCCCTGCTCCAGCTGGGGAAGACAGCCCCTCCCCAGCCCAGGCATGGCTGCCCACTATTTGCTGTATCCCACCTTGTCTCTGGCTCCTTGGCCTCCTAGCTGCCTGTCAGCTAGCAGTTAAACAGTCTCAGTGTGGACACTCCTGCCCTCTCCTCAAAGGCAAAGCAGGGGCAACACCCATCCTGACTAAATACTCGAAGGAATGCCTTACCTGCACAGGGTTGGACGCTCTGGCCCTGAACTAGGTTTGGTGTGAGCAGAAGCTGGAGGAGTTTGGAGTCTGACCCAGAGGTCCTCTTTGCTCCCATACTGAGTGCAGTCTGGTCACCTGAAGGATTGATTCATGCAGTTCCATATGTATATGTGTACCAAGAATGGAAGTTCTAGATGCATAAGCACCTCATGTCCTGTTCTACATGTATCTACCCCTAGTGGCTGAATGCAATGGGAAAATGAGTCTTTGTTTTACTGGCAGGCAGCTGGAGTACATTTAAGCTGTACCCCTTCACTCATTCATAACTTTGAGCTGGAAGATTATTACATGCTAGACCCTCCTTGAGACTCTAGCAGCTAAAGTTTCTTTATATCTGACACCCTCCTGAACTTCATATTTTAGGAAGAAGAGGCAGGGAGTTAAAAAGAGGGCTCAGTGAGTGGGTGCTTGCTGACAGTCTGATTCCCAGAGTCCATGTGTCTTAGTCAGGGTTTCAGTTGCTATGAAGAGACACTATGACCATGGCAACTTTTATAAAGGAAAATACTTAATTTGGGTGGCTTATAGTTTCACAGATTTAGTCCATTATCATCATGGCAAGAAACATGGTGGTATGTAGGCAGGCAAGGTGCTGGAGAAGGAGCTGAGAGTTCTACATCTTAATCCTTGGGAAACAGGAAGTGAACTATGACACTGGGCACAGCTTGAGCACAGGAGAACTCAAAGCCCACCCCCACTGTGACACACTTCCTTCGACAAGACCACACCTAGTCCAACAAGGCCACACCTCCTAATAGTGCCACTCCCTTTGGAAGCCATTTTTTTTTTCAAACCACCACACCATGTAAAGGTAGGAGATATCCAATTCCACAAAATTATCCTCTGACTCCCACATGTGCATCATGACATTACCCTCTCCAAACATGTTTTAATTCAAAAAAATGAAAGAAGAAGCAAACCATCAGTGCATAAACAAATAAATGTACCAAATGGCATCCATGAGAAATATTTTTAACTGAATAACATAGGGAATAGGATAAAGAAGGGATGACCTGAAGGGCCAGACCCAGAGAGAGTGGACAAGTACCCACTCAAGCAGGGCTCTGTAGACTGTTGACTATCCATCCACTGCTCACTAACACACCCAACTGGCCAGTCATTTACCAATCCTCTTCTGAGTACAAGGCCTGGGGACAAAGATGAGTAAGACACAATTCCCACACTCACAAGGTCCATAGCCTAGTGATTGGACATGGAGTAGGTGTACACATTTAAATAGGTACAAAGTTACAAGCAGAGGGACACTGGGAACTTGAAGCAGGGAGCATTTGATTCTAAGAGGAAGGGCGGGGAAGATTTCCACACATGATGTGTGGGCTGTGCCTTGAAGCCCTGAGATAGCACAGGCACACTGAGGTGCTTACTATGAATTTGTTAAAGCAAGAAGGACCTGGATATGCTTTTTAGTCAGTGTTACATGAAGCCCTGGGTTCATTCACCAGTACCACATAAACCAGCCATGGATGATTACACATGCCTATAATCCCAGCACTAGGAACACGGAGGCAAGCGAATAGACAGAAGTTCAATGTCAGCCTTAGCTACACAAAGAGTTCCAGCCAAACAAAGGCTACATAAGACCTGTGAAAAGAGAAAAAAAGTAAGTCTTTATCTAACACTTTGGAGGATGAGGCCAGAGACTCTAAAGTTCAAGGCTAGGTGCCAGGAAGATGGCTTATTGAGTAAAAGCACCTACCTCCAAAGGACATGGTGGTGACCTAAATTCAATCCTTGGGACCCACGTGATTGAAGGAAAGAACCAATTTCTCAATTTATCCCCTTACTTTTACATGTGCAGTTGGTATGTGTGTGACTCCACACATGCCCTGTAACATGAAAGAGAGAGGGAGGGAGGGAGGGAGAGAGGGAGGGAGGGAGG